GACAGACAGTCTCAGACTCAGCAACAAGACTAGCGGCGTAGTCTAGACGACAGGCAGCAGCAAAGTCAACAAGCTCAGCGTATAAGGCAGACGCAGCAGCAGACTCAAACGACGGGTCAGTGACAACTGTGGCTACCAGACGCGTGACAGTAGAGTGAGCAACACGGGTGCAGTCAGACTCAGGCTCAGGAACGGTAGGCAGAGAAGACGCAGGAGGGGACGGCAGGAGAACACGCTAAGGAGGAGGACTACAAGGTGGGTGCCGGTGACAGCCGGCTGACGCGAACGAGGAACACGACGACCAGGACGACCAGAACGGACAGGCGAGACAGGACGCGACGCAGGCTTTTGACGCTCAGTAAGACCCCCTGACTGCTCAGTGTAAGGAGAAGGAGCAGGCAGCGGTGAGCCAGGCTGTAACGGAAGACCAGTAGACGAAGGGAGACTAAGAACCTGGCGAGGTACAGAGTCAGACGGTGGCTGAGATGACAGAGATGGTGGAGCGAAGAACAAGCGCGGCTGAGCAGCGCCACCAGCACCAGCAGCTCCAGCACACCCAGCAGCTCCAGCACCTCCAGCAGCTCCAGAACCCTCAGCGCCAGCTCGTCCAAGACCAGCTCCACCAGCAGCAGCACCCCCAGAACCGGCACCTCCAGTCCCAGGGTCTCCAGACTCAGTGTCTCCAGTAGCAGCACGCCCAGACCCAGGGTCTCCAGCAGTAGTACCCTCAGCCTCAGCACCTCCAGCCCCAGCAGCTCCAGTACCTCCAGTACGAGCACCTCCAGGACCAGCACCACGCCCAGCTCCAGTGACGCCAACAGACGTACCTCCAGCGATAGAGCCCCGAGCCCCAGAAGCGCGACCCTGATGGCAACCGTACCAGTCGTGCAGCTGCTGTGAGGTGAGAGGCACACGCGGACGAAGGCGGCTACTCCAAGGAGACCGCGCAACAGCAGACTCAGAACCCTCAGCGCCAGCACCCGCAGCAGCTCCAGAACCTCCAGTGCCAGCACCCGCAGCAGCTCCAGAACCTCCAGCGCCAGCACCCTCACCAGCTCCAGAGCCTCCAGCTCCAGCACCCGCAGCAGTTCCAGAACCTCCAGCAGAAACAACTCCAGTAGTAGAGACACTAGCACCAGCGCCTCCCGCAGTAGGGCCCCTAGCTCCAGCAGTGCGACCCAGACGGCTAGCGTACCAGTCACGCATCTGCTGTGGGGAGAGAGGGAGTCGACGACGAGAGTGTAGCGGCGAGGAACCAGCAGAGCGACTGCAGAGACGGCCGCCCCAGGGAGACTGCTCACCAGACGCCTCAGCGCCCCCAGGTGCAGCACCCCCAGACTCAGTACCCCCAGGCTCAGCACTCCCAGACTCCTCACGTCCAGGCTCAGCACCTCTAGTCTCCGCACCCCCAGGCTCCGCACCCCCAGGCTCAGCACCCCCAGGCTCCGCACCCCTAGGCTCAGCACCCCCAGGCTCCGCACCCCCAGGCTCAGCACCCCCAGAAGCAGTACCCCGAGCAGGATCACCCTCAGCAGGACCTGAGTCACCAGTGACCTCAACCGGCGCAGTCAAGGGAGGAGGGTCTACCTGAGACACATCTGAAGGAGCAGGACTAGGAGTGGGGAGGGGGTCTACCTGGGGAGAACCTGGAGCGAGGAAGAACGGCGGGGGGGGGAGAGGGGTAGCGCGGTAGGGGAAGAGACGGTAAAAGGGAACCGACTCGTCGAAGGTGATGTCCTGGGAGGGGAAGACACAGCGCGAGGTGGGGTGGTAAAACTGCCAACCAGGCGCGTCAGGGACAAAGCCAAGGAAGACACAGGCAACAGCGCGGGCGGAGAGCTTGTCCGCGGTGGTATCGCGGACAAAGGCACGAGTACCCCAGACCCGGAAACGCGACGCATCGCCAACCTTCCCCGTCCACAGCAGTGTGGGCGAGGTCTCCGGCAAGGAGACACGGGGCCAGAGGTTGAGCTGATGCGCGGCGTACCGGACCGCAAACGGCCACAGAAAATGGGGGGCAGCCGCATGGATCATGGAGGTACGAGCGACCTCCATGACTAAGCCAATGCGGCGCTCAGCAACCCCATTCTGCTGCGGAGAGGCCGGAAGCGTGAACGTCTGGCGGATGCCGTGCTCCGCAAAGAAGGCTGCTAAGAGGTCGGAGGAATACTCCCCACCTCTATCAGAGTGCAGACGCAGGACGGGAAACTCCGTCCTGAACCGCTCGTGGAGCTGGAGACGAGTAGCGCGGATCCAAGGGATCAAAACATCAGGGACCTCACCCTTGGTGCGCAAGGGGAAGACCGTGGTGTAGCGCGTGTAGTCGTCGACGACCAGCAGGAAGTACCGCTCGTGGCCCTGTCCACGGACGCGGGCTGGGCCCCACACGTCCAGGTGGAGAGTCTGCAGGGGAGCCTTTGTGGGAGGGAACGAGGAGGAGTGAGGAGCGGCGCGCTGCCGCCCCTCCTCACAGGGAAGACAGGGAGGAGCAGGCGAGGGTGGGAGGGGAGGGAGAACCCTAGGAAGACCAGAGACAAGGACACGTCGGTGCATGCTGCGAAGGCGCTGCACCGAGGGGTGACCAAGGCGGTGGTGCCAAAGGAGGGTCTGGTGTGACAAGGCGCGACACGAGTAGGGGGCCGACAACTGACATGGCACAGACGCAGACGCAGCTACTTGAGGGGACTCAGTGGTCACTGTGTACAGGCCCGACCCCGGCTGCCGAGTGAAGGTAGCCAGTTGACGACCCGTCTGAGCACACGTGTAGTGTGTCACACGCTCGTAGGCAGGGGTGAACTGGTGAACACCTGCGTCATGGAGCGCAGAACCCGCCACCAAGTTCGTAGAGAACGAGGGGAGGTAACAACCCGACAGTGTGCCGGACGTGACAGCAGGACAAGGGAGGACAGTGGAGGAGGTCGCACGGACTGGACCCCCAGAGGGGTCTGCCAGGGAGACTGGAACCGGCCGACTGAGCGGCGTGAGAGAGGTGCTGTCGCGAAAGAAGGAGCGAGAAGCACCAGAGTCAAGTGTGAAGGTGTACAAAGCCTCAGCAGGCGCAGTACCAGAGAGAGCAGACTCACCAGCACCTGGAGCAGCAGCCTCACCAGTACCTAGAGCAGGAGACACATTAGCCCCTAAAGCAGCAGCCTCACCAGCACCTAGAGCAGCAGGCTCTATACCTGGGTCAGGCGGTACGCACAGGTAACACGCACGTTCAGCCCTAATAGGCAATGCATACATGGCAGTGAGAATAGCATCATAGTCAAGAGCATAGATATCTACCCCCTGTCCAAGCAGCTCCAGCCAGGTGGGGACCTCAGCCTCGTCGCCAAACTCGGTACGCCAGGCGTCGCTCAGACGGGCGAAGCAGCGGGACTGTGTGTGACTAAGCGTCCCGCAAGCCTGACCAGTCCGATCACCTGTGCGAATGATGCACGGGCAGCGAACGGTACTCAAAGACCCTCTACTCTAAGCGTACCACTCACGAAGCTGCCGGGGCGTGAGAGACTCGCGCGGACGTCGCTGGAGCTGCATCTGGCCACCGCCAGTAGTAGCAGTAGCAGTAGTAGCCGCAGTAGCAGCAGTAACAGCAGTAGCAACAGTAGCAGCAGTGGCAGCGCGGCCACCCCTACAACCCCAACCAGCGTACCACTCACGAAGCTGCTGGGGCGTGAGGGACTCACGCGGACGTCGCTGGAGCTGCATATGGCCAACGCCAGTAGCTGCACGAGCAGTAGTAGGAGCAGCAGCGCGGGCAGGCCAGGTGCGGCAGGCAGGCAGGCGGGCAGGCAGGTGCTCACCAGTGGTGGGAAGGGTCAGCGCTCGGCGGGTGGCGGCAGGGTAGGCAAACGACGGCGGCGACGGCGGGGCCGCAGCAGCAGCAGCAGCTGCAGAGTAGGGCCGTGGCAGCTGCAGGGTGGGGCCACGTCAGCGGCAGGTCAGGGCCGTGTCAGCTGCAGGGCTGGCGGAGCCGCGTCAGCGTCCAGGCGGGGCCGCGTCGGCGGCAGGGCGCGGTCGCGGCAACTGCAGGGCGGGGTCGCGCCAGCGGTAGGTCGGGGCTGCGTCAACTGCAGGTCTGGCGGGGCCGCGTCGGCGTCAGGGCGCGGCCGCGTCAGCTGCAGAGGTGGCTAAGCCGCGTCAGCTGTAGGGCGCGGCCGCGTCAGCTGCAGGGCTGGCGGGGCCGCGTCAGAAGCAGGGCGGGGCCGCGCCGGCAGCAGGGCGGGCCGCGACAGCGATTTGGCGGGGCCGCGTCGGCGGCAGGACGGGGCCTCGACTGCGGCAAGATGGGGCCGCGTCAGCGGCAAGGCGGGGCCGCGACCGCTGCCTGACGGGGCCGCGACAGCGACCTGACGGGGCCGCGCTCTAGCGTGACGGGCCTGCAGAGGCTGCGCGCGGGCGGCGAGGGCGACAGCGACCTAACGGGGCCGCGCTCTGGCCTGACGGGCCTGCAGAGGCTGCGCGCGGGCGGCGAGGGCCTGTAGGGGCAGCGCGCGGTCGGGCAGAGGCTGCACGCGGGCGGCGAAGGCCTGCAGGGGCGGCGCGCAGTCGGGCAGAGGCTGCGCGCGGGCGGCGACGGCCTGTAGGGGCGGCGCGCGGTCGGGCAAAGGCCGCGCGCGGGCGGCAAGGGCCTGCAAGGGCAGCGCGCCGGCCTGACGGGCCTGCAGGGGGCGGCTCGGAGGCCTGACGGGCCTGCTGTCACAATAGATTTATATCTATTTAGTATAATATGCCTGTAGTGTAGCTGCTGTGTAATTCCCTTGTATGGTGGCGCACCTCTTTCATCTTTGTTAGGTTGCTATATGTAGTCGTGTGCTATAGTGAACCAACAACCATTCTCAATTCTCCTTGGCATAAACTACTCGACACCCGTTTGGCCTAGGCTACTAAGCCTAGGCCCCTTAGTTAAACCCGTACTCTGGTTAACTTAGTATTGTAGCATGGTATCGAGCTACTAAGATCCTACACCTAAGTCAATGGGCCCACCACCGTCTGTCGTTATGGCGCGCCCCGTCGATCGGGCCGTTGTGCAACCCGTTACGCGCATCGCTGGCCCCACCCGTCGCTCGCCCGTCGTCCCACCGGCTCGCTGTCCCGCTGCTGCTGCGCTAGCGAGGACGACCTGCGCGAGGGCGCTCGTCGCGCCCTACCGTTACGGCCCCAATTCACCCGCGGACCCGCCAGCAAGAGAGCCAGCGGATCCGCGGACCCGTCAGCAAGCGAGCCAGTGGACCCGCTGTCGGACCCGCCAGCGAGCTCGCCATCGGACCCGCGAGCCCGCCAGCAAGCGAGCCAGCCGACCCGCCAACGCGTGCGTCAGCAAACCCGCCGATGGACCCACCGTCGGTTCCGCCAGCGCACGAGTCAGCCCGCCGACGAACCCGCCAGCATGCCCGTCGCCGACGCGCTACCTGCAACTGCATCCCGCCGCCCGCGCGATATCCGCTACTGCAGCCCGTCGCCCGTCCCGTCGCACTGCCGCCCGTCGCCAGATCCCCGCCACCCGTACGCTCTCCGCTGCCCGTCGCCAGGTCCCCGCCTGCCCTCCCGTCGACTTCGCAACTGCTGTGAAGGGAGTGGCGGGAGAAGCTGCTGCTACGCCCTAGCACGCGCCAGATCATCCGCGACCCGCACCCCGCACCCCGCCCGTCGCCCATACTCCACCCGCACCCCGCACCCCGCCCGCCGCCCGTACGCCATCCGCCCCCCGCACGACGTCCGTGCCCCCGTCCGCGAGACCCGTCCGCACCCCGTACCTGCACCCAGACCGCCGTTCTGCCCCAGATCCCGCCCCCCCCCCACCGACAACTGCCGCCCCACCCCCATCTCTGACTCCGTTTCCAGCGGGAAGGGGAGGAGGTGTGGCCCGAAGGGGACGGCTGGGGGAGGGGGAGTGGCGGGGTTGGCGGCTCATGTAAGGGGGAGGTTGAGGGGTTGGGTGATCCATCTGCAGCTACTGCCGCCACACCTCCTCCTCTCTCTCTCCGCCACTGCTGGATCAGGGGGTGTGGGTGGGTGAGTCCAGCTGCAGCACCAGCCGCCCCCTCCTCCTCTTTCTCACTCCTGCATCTGCTGCTGTTGGGGGGGAGGTTGAGGGGGTGGGTGATTCAGCTGCAGCACCTACCGCCACTACACCTCCACCTCTCTTTCTCCGTCAATGCTGCTGTGGGGGGAAAGGTTCCGGGGGTGTGGGTGGTGAGAGTTCATATGCAGCATCAGCCGCCTCCTCCTCTCATCCCCTGCCCCGTACCTCCCGTATTGCCCGAGTTCCCCGTGCTTGCCCCATACCCCACCCGTTTCACCCGTGCTGTCCGTACCCGGTTGGGCCCCACCCGTTTCACCCGTGCGTCCCGTGTTCCCGTGCTGCTCCCGCGCTCTCCCCGGGTTCCCATGCTGTCCCCGTGTTCCCGTGCTGTCCCCGTGTTCCCGTGCTACTCCCGTGCTGTCCCCGTGTTCCCGTGCTGTCCCCGTGTTCCCGTGCTGCCCCCGTGTTTCCATGCTGCCCCCGTGCTGCCCCGTTTTGCATGTGTCGTGCCCGTTCCCGTGCCGTGTTGCCCCGTTCAGCCCTTGTCCTGCCCCGTTCTGCGTGTGCTGCCCCGTTGTCCCCGTGTTGCCCCGTTCTGCCCGTGTTGCCCCGTTCAGCCCGTGTCCTGCCCCGCTCTGCCCGTGTTGCCCCGTTCTGCCCGTGTTGCCCCGTTCAGCCCGTGTCCTCCCCCGTTCAGCCCGTGTCCTGCCTCGCTCTGCCCGTGTTGCCCCGTTCAGCCCATGTCCTGCCCCGTTCTGCCCGTGCTGCCCCGTTCTGCTCGTTTGTGCCCTACCCGTGCTGTCCGTACTCGTTCGTGTCCCACCCGTGCTGTCAGTTCTTGTTCGTGCCCCACCCGGTCTGTGCTGCCCGGTCTCATGCTGCCCGTCACCCCCGTGCGGCCCATCCCGTACAGCACCTAGTTGCTACCCGAACCCGCTACCCGTACCCGTGCTCCTCGCACACCGTGCACCAGCTGCGGGACGTTCAACCGCAGCCAGGCACCTGTTCCACCGCGGTGGTCCAGATGCTGCTTGGTGGTTGCTGCTTGTCAGCTTCAGAGGGGGCCCCTTGCTGGTGTTCCCACGCCCTGTAACGGGGTTTTACAGGTGTACCCCTTCAAGGGGGGCTTTGCACATGGTTATGCACTTCAGGCAGATAGGGGGTGTGTCACAATAGATTTATATCTATTTAGTATAATCTGCCTGTAGTGTAGCTGCTGTATAATTCCCTTGTATGGTGGTGCACCTCTTTCATCTTTGTTAGGTTGCTATATGTACTCGTGTGCTATAGTGAACCAACAACCATTCTCAATTCTCCTTGGCACAAACTACTCGACACCCGTTTGGCCTAGGCTACTAAGCCTAGGCCCCTTAGTTAAACCCGTACTCTGGTTAACTTAGTATTGTAACACCTGCAGGGGCGGCTCGGGGGCCTGACGGGCCTGTAGGGGCGGCTCGTGGGCCTTACTAGCCTGCAGGGGCGGCGTACTGGCCTAGGGTAGCAGGAGGCAGCGCGAGGGCTGCAAGACGGCGCGCGCAGCGCAGCACGTCACGAGGCAAGGCAGGCAGACAGGCAGGCAGGCAGGCGCAGGACAACACGTGGGGTAGCGCGGTAACCGCAACGGTAGGTGGGCCCGAAAAAAAAACGGTCCTACGGACCTAGTGCTCTGAAACCATGTTACAATCTAGCAGCAGGGATGGTTGAACTATGAAAAAGTTGGGTACAAATATGAAACCCTAAAGTGGGGTGTACCCCATATTGGCTACCCCACTACAGCCTAAACATATATAGCAGATATAACATTTGACACCCCTGTCGGCTGCACCGCTGCTCTTGCCTCCTGTTCGACCGGCTCCCCTGTCTGCTGCTCCCTTGACGTCGACGGCTTCCCATCCTGGTCGACGAGCTTGGCGCTGTCAGAACATTATAGCTTATGCTTTTGTGTAGGCTGTAGTGGGGTAGCCTATATGGGGTACAACCCAATTAGGGTTAGTACTTGTACCCAACTCTTTCATACTGCATTCATACTGCATTCATTCTCGTTCATTTTCACATGGTTTCAGAGCACATATGCTCCTGGCCTGTGGGCCATACTACTGCTTCCGCTGCTACTCGATCTGTCGCACGCGCAGTGGCGTGCGACCTATTTTTGGCGCGCGGCGATTTTCTCTCTGGCACGCGCCCCGAGGCGCGCGGCCCCGTTCCTTCTAGGCGCGCCAATCCCCGCTACCCCGTCGCGGCCCCATCTCGTCGCGCCGCCCTAGCGGCCGCGTCGCGCCGCCCTCGCGGCCCCGATCCGCCGCCCTAGCGGCCCCGTCACCTACTCCTACGGCCCCGGCGGCGCCCATCCCGGCCCCGGCTCCGCCCTTCCTGGCCCCGGCGCCACCTCGGCTGGCCCCGTCGCCTACCTCTTCGGCCCCGGTGCCGCCCTTCCCGGCCACAGCGCCGCCTCTGCTGGCCCCGTCACCTACCCTACGGCCCCGGCGCCACCTCTGCTAGCCCCGTCGCCGCTCCATCCGGCCCCGCCGCCGTCCCCAAGCGGCCCCGCCGTCACCACCGAGCCGCCGGCGCTGCCGAGCTGCTACCGAGCCGCCCGAGCCGCAGCGCCACCTGAGCCGCCCGAGCCGCCGGGTCGCCGAGCCGCCGAGCTGCAGTTGCTGCCGAGCCGCCGTACCGCCGAGCCGCCCGAGCCGCCCGAGCCGCCGAGTCGCCGAGCCGCAGTTGCCGCCGAGCTGCCCGAGTCGCCCGAGCCACCGAGCCGCAGTTGCTGCCGAGCCGCCCGAGCCGCCCGCACCGCCGAGTTGCCGAGTCGCCGAGTCGCCGAGCCTGCTCTTCCCACCACTGGTGAGCCCCTGCCCTGCTAGCGCGCTGCCCGCCGCTTGCTTACCTGCCTGCCTGCCTTTCGCCCTGCCTGGCTGCCTGCCTTACTGCTGCTACTCCTGCTCCTGCTTCTACTGGCGGAGTTAGATGCAGCCCCAGCGACGTCCGCGTGAGTCCCTCACGCCCCAGCAGCTGCGTGAGTGGTACGCTGGTTGGGGTTGTAGGGGTGGCGGCGCTGCTACTGCTACCACTACTGCTGCTACTACTACTGGCGGCGGCCAGATGCAGCTCCAGCGACGCCCACGCGCGTCTCTCACGCCCCAACAGCTTCGTGAGTGGTACGCTCAGAGTAGAGGGTCGCTGCTCTTACGTGATTCGCACTGGTGCTCGGACTGGTCAGCCTTGTGGGACACCTAGTCACACACAGTCCCGCTGCTTCGCCCGTCTGAGCGACGCCTGGCGTACCGAGTTTGGCGACGAGGCTGAGCTCCCCGACTGGGTGGAGTTGCTTAGGCAGAGGGTAGATATATTTGCTCTTGACTATGATGCTATTCTCACTGCCATGTATGCATTGCCTACTAGTGCTGACCGTGCCGGTCACCTGTGCGTACCGCCTGACCCGGGTATAGAGCCTGCTGCTCTAGCTGCTGGTGAGGCTGCTGCTCTGGGTGCTAGTGAGTCTCCTGCTCCAAGTACAGGTGCGGCTGCTGCTCTAGGTGCTAGTGAGTCTGCTTCCTCAGGTGCGGGTGAGTCTGCTCTCTCAGGTACCGCGTCGGCTCCGGCCTCTCACACCTTCACTCTTGACTCAGGGGCTTCCCGCTCCTTTTTTCGAGACCGCACCACACTCACGCCGCTTGGTCAGCTAGTTGCAGTCTCTCTGGCAGACCCCTCTGGGGGTCCTGTCCTTGCTCACTTCTCCACTGTCCTCCCGTGTCCGGCGGCCCCCTCTGGCACCCTGTCTGGTCTTTACCTCCCCTCGTTCTCTACGAACTTGTTGAGTGGTGCTGACCTACAGGATGCGGGGGTTCACCAGTTCACTCCTGCGAGTCAGCGGATGACCCACTACACGGACGCTCGGACAGGCCGACACCTGGCCACGTTTACACGTCGGCCGGGGTCGAGCCTGTACACGCTGACCACTGCGTCTCCTCCAGTCACTGCGTCTGGTCAGGTAGCTGCGTCGGGTCAGGTGTTTGCTGCAGCGTCCAGGTCTGGTCCTGATTCTTCCCCCTGCTCGTGTCGTCTCCTGTCTCTCCTCTGGCACCACCGCCTTGGTCACCCCTCCCGTTCATCTCCGAAGCATGGCCTCCCGTGTCCTTGTCTCTGGTCTTCCCCGGTCCCTCCCTCCCCTTCCTCCGGGGCCTGGCCCTACCTGCGTCCCTTGTGTCGAGGGGCGGCAGCGGGCTGCCCCTCACTCCTCTCAGTTTCCTCCGACACAGGCCCCGCTGCAGACGCTTCACATGGACGTGTGGGGCCCAGCCCGCGTCCGTGGACAGAGTCACGAGCGCTACTTCTTGCTGGTGGTTGACGACTACTCGCGTTACACCACAGTCTTCCCCTTGCGCAACAAGGGTGATGTCACTGAGGTGTTGATCGACTGGATCCGCGCACCTCGTCTCCAGCTCAGGCGGAGCTTCGGCTCAGACTTTCCTGTTCTGCGTCTGCAATCTGACCGAGGCGGAGAGTTCTCCTCTGGCCTTCTGTGGGCCTACTGTCGTGCGCGAGGCATCCGCCAGACCTTTACGCTTCCGGACTCTCCACAGCAAAATGGGATTGCTGAGCGTCGCATTGGCATGGTCATGGACGTCGCCCGTACGTCCATGATGCATGCGGCTGCCCCCCATTTTCTGTGGCCGTTTGCGGTCCGGTACGCGGCGCATCAGATCAACCTTCAGCCCAGGGTCTCCATGCCGGAGACCTCCCCAGCTTTGCTGTGGACGGGGAAGGTTGGCGATGCGTCTGCGTTCCGTGTCTGGGGATCTCGGGCGTTTGTTCGCGACTTGTCTGCAGACAAGCTGTCCCCTCGTGCTGCTCCCTGCGTCTTCCTGGGTTTCCCCCCTGACGCGCCAGGGTGGCAGTTCTACCACCCCACCTCTCGCCGTGTTCTGTCCTCCCAGGACGTCACGTTTGACGAGTCGGTCCCCTACTACCGTCTCTTCCCCTACCGCACTCCGTCCCTCCCCCCGCCACCACTCTTCCTTATGCCAGGTCCCCCCCCGGTAGACCCCCTCCCCCCTCAGGGTCCTGCCCCTTCAGGTGTGTCCCAGGTAGACGCTGTTGAGCCTGTCGAGGTCGCTGGTGACTCTGCTGCTACTAAGGGTGCTGAGCCTGGGGGTGCTAACTCTTGGGGTGCTGAGAGTGTGGGTGCTACGCGTGGGGGTGCTGAGCCTAGGGGTGCTGAGCCTGGGGGTGCTGAGCTTGGGAGTGCTGAGCCTGGGGGTGCTGAGCCTGGGGGTGCTGAGCCTGGGGGTGCTGAGCCTGGGAGTGCTGAGACTGGGGGTGCTGAGCCTGGGGGTGCTACGCCTGGGGGTGCTACGCCTGGAGGTGCTGAGCGTGAGGGAGCTGGGCCTGCTCGTGTGGCGTCTGGCGGTTTTCCAGGTGCTTCGTCTCGCCGGGAGCCACTCTCTCCACAGGAGTTGCGTGAGTGGTTTACTCGGCGCTGGAGGCGAGCTGCTGGAGCTGGAGGTGCTGCGGTTACTGGAGGTTCTGCTGCTGCTGAGGGTGCTGGTGCCGCGGGTCCCGGAGGTGCTCGTAATGGGAGTACTGGAGCTGCTGGGCCTGCGGGTACTTCTGGAGTTGGAGCTGCTGCGGGTGTTGACGTGGTGGCTACTGCTGTCGGTCCTGGAGGCGGTCCTGCAGGGGGTGCTACTGGTGCTGCTGGAGGTACTGGAGCTGGAGGTGCTGCTGGTGCTGGTGCTGCCGTTGGGGGTACTGGTGTTGTCCCTGCTGTGTCTGGAGTCGCCGCGCGGCCTCGGCCGTACTTCGTTCCGCTCCTTCAGCAGGTTCTTGGTCTCCCGCCTTCTACTGGTCCTCCTCCTCCCTTCGAGTGTCCACAGCCTATCCCGTCACAGTTACAGTTACAGCTGTCCTCCCCTCTGCC